TTACTTTCAGATTCAGAGTTTTGTTGAGCTATTTCAAAATTGGCTTTCATTTTCAAATTATTTTCTTTTAGCTCAGCAATTTCTGATCTTAATAGATTATTCTCAGAGCCAAGATTGCACTTAAGCTTCTTGCATTTGAGTTTAATCTGATTATAATTTTTCAGGACTTCAGATAATACTTTAATAAGCTCTTCCCTAATGAGATCAGAAAGTACCTCTTCTGAGCCAGATTCAGAATCAGACTCAGATCCAGATGATTCTTCATTCTGATCTTCAATGCCTGCCATCAGAGCCATGTTGGCGCATTCTTCTTCAGAATCTGATGAAGATTCAGAGTCATCTGAATCATCCCATGTAGCCATTAGAACCTTCTTCTTATGTTCAGGCTTTCTTCTGGGCTTTTCCTTCTGAAGCTTTGGACATTCATTTTTGTAATGACCAGGTTGTTTGCATTCAAAACAAACAACTTCCTTCTTTCCAGATCTTTTTGTTCCAGAGGATTCCTTGCGCTGATCTGGCTTTTTGAAGTTCTTGAACTTCCTCTGCTTGTGCTTCCAGAGTCTGTTGATTCTTCTGGACAGCAAGGACAATTCATCTTCTTCTTCAGAATAAGATTCTTCAGAGCTTTCTTCTAACACCTGCAAAGCTTTCACAGATTTGTTAGATTTTAAGGCAATTGACTTACCTTTCTTTTGAGGCTCATCTTCCTCAAGTTCAATTTCATGGCTCCTTAGTGAGCTGATTAGCTCCTCCAGAGTGATCTTGTTCAGATCCTTGGCAAGCTTCAGAGCAGTGACCATAGGTCTCCATCTGATAGGCAAGCTTCTGATAATCTTCTTCACATGATCAGCAGTTGAGTAGCCTTTGTCCAAAACCTTTTGACCAACTGTAAGGATCTGGAATCTAGAGAACATAGTTTCTATAGACTCAGATTCTTCCATCTTGAACGCTTCATACTTCTGTATTAACGCCAGAGCCTTGGTCTCTTTAACTTGAAGGTTTCCTTCATGAGTCATCTTCAAAGACTCAAACATGTCAAATGCAGTTTCTCTATTTGTGATGTTCTCATACTCAGTGTGAGATATTGCATTTAACAAGATTGTTCTAGCCTTGTGGTGATTTCTAAACTCCTTCTTTTGGGCTTCATTCATAGATTTTCTATCTACTTTCTTTCCATTCCCATCAGTGGGATGAACATACCCATCTATGACCAAGTCCCACAAATCAGCATCATAACCAAGGAAGAAACTTTCTATCCTGTCCTTCCAATAATCAAATTTCTCCTCATCAAACATAGGGGGTTTTGTGCTGATTCTATCCCTTTCTTCATATCTGTTGTTACTGTTAGATGTTGAAGTTTCAGCCATAATAACAACCAAATATATATCAAAGTTTTTTTCACTGGATCTTTTATGTCACTGTGAAGTGGTAGCACACACAGAACCGGAGCTTTGATGCCAACTGAAGGTGAGAAAATACTTAGAAGGGGGGGGTTGAATAAGTATATTGAAAAAACTTATAACAATAAAAACTCAAGGATTTTTATCCTGGTTCGTTGAACTCAACTACTCCAGTCCACCCTATCAAGAGTGATTTGCCTTTCTCAAACAAGGACTTAATCCACTATTAAATCAACTGATTACAATAGCAAGCACTAAGAACAACTGTTCTAAGTCTTCTCAAGAACTACTGATCCTAACTGGATCTTCTTAAGGTTCTTTTACAATCAAATGTAAGAATAATACAAGTGTTTAAATTGCTTCTAATAAAGCTTTATCACAACTGTGATTTTTCACTTAAGATTTAAGAACTATGAAATAAATTCAGCTAATGAGTGTAAATTGTATGAGAGCCTGTAATGAATTCTTTCAATATTTCGTCAACTGAAGAAGATGAATGGATTCTTCCTTTTATAGGCACAGAGGTCCAAGAAACTATTACGTTGAAGGCTGTGTACAAAAAGGTCTGAACCTTTTTTTGTCTTCACATCACATGACCTTTCCTGGAAGTAGAATGCACAGAGAAATCCTTTTTGTCTGTGTTCTAGTGTCTAGCATAAATGAGGAAAGAGTCGTTTGGCCATACCAACGGACATAAGTTTGAATTCTTCTTCAACAAGTTTCAGCAAAGGAACATCAGAGTCTTGAGCAGTCAGAGTCTTCTGATGTACATTAGAGTTTGCTGAATCAGAGTCTTTGCAGCATATGTGCTTTCAGCGTGTAATTGTTCAGAGCAGAATTTGGGATCAAATCCTCAGTACTGGCAGCATTAGTACTATCAAAGTCTTCTGAAATAACTGTGCTTGAAACTCTTCATACAGAATTCTTCAATGCTTCAGATGCTTCTGGCTTCTGCTTCAGATTCTTCTGTAGCTTCTGCTTCAGATCCTTCTGTAGACAGCGCTCAGAATCTTCTGGAGGTAGCGTTCAAAATCTTCTAAAGGATGCTTCTGACGCTTCAGAGCCTTGCATATTTTTCATGTTCAGATCTAATTTGCTTCCAGATTGATATATACTTTAATATCTGCAACAAACAATCTTAAACAATTTTTAGAGTATATAATTCTTTAATACAAAATTTCATAAGAGTTATCATCAAAACATAGAGATATTCATAAGAACCAATCTGTGTTCTAACATCATGAACGCCAAAAGGTTTTTCCTAGTGTCTAGCTTTGAAGATGAAGTGGTTGCTTCCATTTTTTGAGTTTGAAAAGCTTGTTATAAAAGGGTTTTTATTTATGTTTAAAAATATTGAAGCGATAATGAAGAAGATTGAAAGAGATTGTGAAGGAAGTATTTATAGAGTTGTTTATCTTTCCAGTGACAGACACTGATGACACTCTGTCATTGCATAATTTCGATCAAAGAAACAGATCAAAACAAGATAAAAGGGAGCAAAAATGAAGAATAACGAGCAAAGAAAGAGGAAAAAATAACTAAGTGTGGAGAAATAGGGACTTAGTGAAAATCAAGTGAAAAAGGGAGAAAAAGTGTGCAACTACTAGAATAATCACGCGCAACATCGTGCGAGATGTAAGTCATCACACGTGCGATGACCCTTTTTCTAGACTTTTTCGAACGCGTTCTAATCCATTCTGAAGGCTTTTTAAAGGGAATTCTGGTACTTTTTTAGGGTTACGAATTTCTATATGTAAAGCGACGATTTACAACACCAAAAATCCTATTTGAAGAGCATTTGAAGCCATTTAAGGCTAATTCTTTAAGGAGTTCTGATGCAAACCTTCTTATTTGATTCTGGTATTGTAATTTGAATTATGAGTAGTTAAGTCTCTCTAGGTTAGGTTGTGTTTGATGAACCTATTTTGATATTGTTGGGACATATGTTTGATTTGATATTTCATGAGTAATTTAATTTATAATTCTATTCGATTACACATTATTCTTAATGTTTTTCATGTGAGATGCTTTTTTAATCTGATTTTGGGCATATAGGGAATACTAACTATTAGTCTATGTGTTGGACCTAAGGTAATTGTTGTGCTTACACTGGTTGAATAAAGATAAGAGACCTCGAGTAGTGGCTTAGGAATTAACGCTCAGTTTCATTGCCTGATCTTTCTTACATTGGTGGATTAGGGATAGAAAACTCTGAGTATTGATTAGTGAGTTATATCGCAAGTGATTGGGTATCGTAGTTATGCTAATTTGTTGTGGGATTATAGTGACAATATCATTCATGTAATGCTTCGAACATCAACAATAGAGAAATATGAGATTCTATACACAACTTGACCACTTTAGTAAACATGTCTGAACACTTTCTTTTATTTTTGCAATTAAAATTCGAAAGCCCCCCTATTTAGTATTTTCTACGCGTTGCACAATTTTGTCTTGTTAAATAGCAGTCCCTGTGGATTCAATATTTTTTTATTATTGTGACAATATTAATACACTTGCCGAGAAGTCATCAGACACATGGTAGATGCGTGGTGAGAATGAAACGCCTCATTTTCTCAAGAAGTGGGAAAAATGATAGTAGTTGAGGAGTTAGTGAAATTGTGCAAACCCATGATTTTTTAGAAAGTATAAGTAATACTAGATTTTTGAGAAGATCTTTTGAAAAATGACAATTTGCATTAAAATGGTAATAATGACGATGACGTCAATGAAAGAGTTTGAACAGGTGTCGAAAATATTTCAAAAATGCCACCTTTCTCCTTCTTGATTATAAGGAGATGATGAGTGTTCGTGTGATGAGTTTATTGCCAAAATCGAAGTGTTTAGTTATGACCGTGGATATCTCGACGGATTTGACTTGTCAATAAATGGTCCCAACTCTGGTCGAGTTTTCAATCAGCAAGACCAGAGATTTTATTGGTTTTGCGACTTAGTAAAATTCAAAATACTCAGATTGTTTATTCTTCACGCAGTCGAAAGAAGTGTAAGTGGATAAGACCATACAATTATTTGGAGACACGTGGGAGCTTGTCAAAGGCGAATGTTGCATAGAGATAAAGGCGTGACATAATTTACTTAGTCGACCGATGTAAACCGTTAAATTAAGATTAGTATATAAGTAGTGTTCACTTCTAGTTTTAATCAAATTTCACAGTTTTAATTTTTATGGAATAAAATAAGTGAGTAAAATATTAGTGTCACGACATAGAATTTCTTCCCATTTCATCACGTAGTCAAACTAGTACTTTAAATGAAGTGCATTATTGAGTTTTTTTATAGTCAAAAAGAAGAATTATTAGTATAACAAATTTGTAAACGCATCTACCTCTAATAAATAAATATGAAAAAAAGAAAAAGAAAAAAAGAAAATACACGAGGGTTTCTGCTGACTCGTAATTTTATATGATCCACACCAGATCCCACACATCTGGTTAGGTGAATCATTCTCTTTCTCTTCTTCATACATTCAACACCCAAAGACCCCTCTCTCTCTCTCTCTCTCTCTCTCTCTCTCTCTCTCTCTCTCATCGCCTATAACTCCTCGTGCTATCATCCACAGAGACACAACACCTTGTGAAGATGGTAGGAGCTATTAAGGCTGCACTCGGAGACGCAGTATTGACTTTCATGTGGGTTTTTTCTTCTTCCATGTTGGGTATAGTTTCAAAGGCAATAACACAAGCACTTGGTCTTCAAGATGTTTCGTACAACGGTTTCCCTTACCCCTCTTTGATTATCACCACTACCGTTGTGTTTCTTCTCGTTTTTCTCTTCACCTTAATTGGTGCTGCAATGGGTGGTGCTAGCTTTAACCCTACTGGCACCGCTGCTTTTTATTCCGTTGGTATTGGTTCTGATACGCTTTTTTCCATGGCTCTTCGTTTCCCTGCTCAGGTATTCAACAATCTTCTCTTGTTTTTTTTTCTTGAGGAAATTTTCAGTGGGTGTTTGACTTGATTTTACAATTAATTTTGAAATGTGATTGTAGTGAAAATAGTGTTTAGCTTTCAAACCCTAGTTTGTGAATGATAAAATGTGTTTTTGAAGATATTGTTTTTTTGGCTATAGAAGATGTTTGTCAATTAGATCAACTGAAATTAATGAAATTGATCTATAAAATCGAAAATTCTCTTTTATACTTCCTTTTGAATCCGTTAATTTAGTTTTGAAATTGCTGCAATGATAATGATGTCATAGAGAATTTTCAATCTTGGATCGTTTTAGAATTTGAATTGATGAAAGTAAATTAATTATTTACTCTTTGCTAAATTTAACTTGAATTCGCTTCGGCATTACTTTGTTCGAGCTCAATTGGATTGCAATCAATTTTTCAAAACAAGTCATGTATTATATCAAATGCTTGCTCAAAAACACTCATAATTGTTGTGTAGGCTCTTGGTGCTGCAGGTGGTGCAATGGCAATTGCGGAGTTGATTCATCCGAAATATAGACATATGATTGGGGGTCCTTCTTTGAAAGTGGACTTGCATACTGGGGCTGTTGCTGAGTTGGTTTTGACATTTGTGATTACTTTTGTGGTCCTCTGCATTTTCATCAAGGGGCCACGTAATGATTTATTGAAGATTTGGTTGCTGGCCATGTCAACTGTCACTTTGGTCATGGTTGGCTCTACTTACACTGGTCCATCCATGAACCCAGCCAATGTGAGTCAATACTTTTTTGCATTTATTAATATACCGTTGTTTTCTTCTGTGTTACTGGAATTGGTGTTTGGTTAAATATCTTGTGAATTTGATTTTGTAAAATTTTTTTTTTTTTGCATGCATGTGTTGCGTGAATTTGATTTCAAAACGGTTGATTTTTTCCATACTGACTTCTCTGTCCCTTTTTGACTTGGTTATAATCGGTTGGTCAACATCGACACTTGGCATAAGCAAAAGCCCATACCATTTGAACATCATCATTGTGTTTGAAGAGAAATTCTGAGGTGAAAGCTCATGTATCGTCACTTTTAAAAGCAACCAATTAAAAATTTACAAATAATTAAATAAATGTAAAAAATAAAACTTGAAATTCACGTGTTCTTCTTAGCCTCCACCATTCCTTCCTTGTTTCTTGGTTTTTCTCCATCCGTCATTATTCCTCAACTGTGTTCCCTGACGGACTTTGGTACTGCTGTATCAACTTGACTTAACAGGGGTGACAGTGCATGGTGAAATTTGGCAAATTGGAACTTTTTGACAGAGTGTGTGTTAGGACAACAGTGTTGGTTTGAATCAAAGGGCGCTGAGATTGGGCCTTCATCGCCCCTGGTTACCTTTATTGAAACAAAGTATCACATTTGAAGGAAGAAGGCTGAATATCTTCATTATGGAATACATTGATTTTGGATGTGATCCTTTGTTTTAACAAAGACAACCAGGATTGGAAGACATAATGAAGATATTCAACCTCTACTTCCTTTGAATGTGATACTTTGTTTCAACAAAGGCAAACAAGGGGTGATGACGGCTCAATCATTAATTTTGGATTGGAGGATTATGGTTTTGGGGGAATTAGGGATTTGGGAGGTCATTATTTTTTTCTGAAATAAGTGGACAACAAAACATTTTGAGGAAGACACAATAAAATTATATAGGTGGTGCTGTTATTTTCACTATCTGCATTTCCTCAGCATCAACTTTTATGCATAATTTCAACCTGTATAGAGTGGAAGAAGGGAGCGGTGGGATTAACCATTGGGATTCGAGTGAACAAAACAACTGCTTTTCTTTTTCTGCATATTTGTGTGTTTCCTTTTATATTTTCACTTCTTATTTAAGTTCAATTTAAGTAACGAATTGATTGTAAATTTTTAATATGGTGTTGTTTATACTTTATACTTTCAATGAAAGTAGTTTTCTGAATGTTTTCTACATCTTTATTGTATTGTATTGATTGAGATCAGTTAATTGTTTGATTATTCTCATATATTTAATGTTGGTCATTCTTTAATAAGACAGTAATCAAGTTATGCAGAGATATTTAGGCGAATTAGACGGTTCATGGTCTTTTCAAGGACCATTTGGAAATTGAAATTTTTGAGTCAACATAATGGAAGGACTCCTAAGTAAACTAGAATCTTGATTATGTACCAGATTGCACGATTTATCCACTCTTATTTGGAATACATAGAAATGCTAATAACACACTCTTTGACACTCCGTTTTCTACATTATTCTCCGTTAAATGACCTTGATAGTGTTTTTTATCCCTTTGATTATACTGCTGATAAGTAACATTATGGTTGTTGGCTATGCTGCAGGCCTTTGGTTGGGCATACTTAAACAACTGGCACAACACATGGGACCAATTCTACGTCTACTGGATTTGCCCCTTCACTGGCGCAATACTGGCTGCTTGGCTGTTCCGGGCCATCTTCCCTCCACCAGAAGTAAAACAGAAGAAAGCATGATAGCTTTGTTTCTCATGTCAGTTTGTTAAATATCAAGCATCATGTTTCAGCTCATAATGGAACATGTTTCATTAAGTATGATATCAAATTTGAAATTATTAGTGTTAAATTATTGGAGTTATTGATAAATGGATAACTCATATTCAGTTTCTAATTGGAAAAGTTCAATAATGATTTAAGCAGATCTAAGCTGGGTATTGATTTGATTCACATTGCTGGTTCTTTTCTGGCAAAACCCCAATTCTGTTTGCAAGAAAATGAATTAGATACAAATTTTAGGGATTATTTTGATGGAAGAAAATTACTTATGGTTTTGGCCCTTTTGCCATCCTAATAAAAATACTTAAATAGATTTTTAATTCTACTAATTTTAAAATCACTTCTATTATTTCAAATAAAAATTTTAATAAAAATTATTTTTGATAAACACAGAAAAAGCCACTTTTAAAAACTAAAACAAAGGGTCCTACATCTTATTCACATAAGGTAACATGGCAAATGCAAAAGACTTGTTTGTAAAGGTGTTTCTGGGTCATTTGGTGGTGCACTTCAGGATGCAACCATCACTAAACCTAAAATTTGTAGATGATTTTTTAAAGTCTTTTATTGTTTCCTAGGCACCACACAATTTTTTTTAATAATGCTTTTAGATTTCGGAGATATATTTTCGGACGCATCATATTTTAACTAAACGTTAAGATACTCTGGAGATATATTTTTGGACACACTAAAGATCAATTGAACGATGAAATATTTCGGAGATATATCTCTGAAACAAATTAGAACATATTGTCGTGTCAGACTCTTCTCCTCCCACACTTTTTCATTTCTATTCACAAATCTCTTCATCTCTCTCATTCTCAAATTTCTCGAACTTCACCAAATTTATTTTCTTTCGTTTGAGGCTCAGGTAATCATCAAGCTACATCCAGTGCATCATTCAACATCTTCCTAATCATATAATTCAGATACGTTTTTTAAATTTTTGATAAATATTCGAGTTTTGTTGTAAACGAGTTAAAATCCACAGTTAGGTGTCATAATGTTTAGAAATCAGATTAAACATAGTTTAGAGTAAATGCATGTCTTATTTGTTGGCTCAAATGGACGATCAAGACTTCAAATTTGCCATTCTGAGGGACAGAGGACGTCATTGGCGCGAACTCTGAGTTGCAGAATGTTCTAGAGATACATCTCATGTACTCTGGGTGATTCCGGAGGTACATCTGCAGAATGTTTCCTTAGTTGTATCTCCGGAATCACCCAGAGTACATGAGACGTTTAACGTTTTCGGAGATGTAACTCTGAAATGTCTCAGTCTGTTTTTTTTTGTCTTATTACGTAAACTCATTGTACGATTAATTATATTATATTTTGCAGGCATAATGGCTGACAGAGCCGATCGATCGAGGCATGGATGGGTTGCTCAGCACGCATTCGTTAGAGGAAAGTGGAGTCAGCCAGGTCCGGATGCAGCAGGTACCTCTGGTCATGGAGAGGCGTCGACTGTTGATGTACAATCTACTCCTGAGGCTCAACCCACTCCTATGGTTCAACCTTCACCTCCATCTACATCTCAGGCCACTTCATCTACATTTCAGCCCACTCCACCTTCTTCATCTTCTTCCCGCAAACCACGGGATACACCAACTGACGTGTCACTTCCTCCATCCTCCCGTAGGCGGCGTGATGCACCTGTGCCACCTCCTGTTGACCCGGTCGCACTTGCTGATCGAGATGCATCGGTGCCACCTCTAGAGGGTGATGTTGTTGATGCCGAGTCAGAGGCTTTCGGAAGGGGGTCCATCTGATATGTCCCTACTTCCTTTGTACCTAGACCATACAGCCAAACATATTTGGGACGGAGAGATAACATTAGTCACATTGTTATTATATTTTTTACATTAATTTAAATTGCTGACATTGATTATTTTTAACATTAATTCTTGCTAACATTGACTATTTCTAGAAATTCGCAGGTGCGCGATTCCCAGAAGTCTCTGAACCATGAGCGAAAGATTTTAGCATTGCATCAGCCTGATGTAGATTGGTTTCAGTCGGTTCTCACCGTTTCTTGGTTGAGTGACCTATGCTTGACCAGTTACACTTTGGTCAACCACGAGATGCTTAATGCATTCGTGGAGTGATGACACTTTGAGACCTCTTCCTTTCATCTCCCGCACAGTGAGATGTCGATTATACTGGACGATGTATCGTGTTTGTTGCATCTACCGATCAGAGAGAGATTCCTCCATCATGGTAGGATGACTAAAGATGAGGCGGTCGATATGATTGTGGAGCATTTTGGGGATGATTCAGCGAAGGCGCCGAGAGAGGTGGATAGGACCAGGGGTGATCATATTAGGTTTTTGTTCTTGAATGAGAGATTTGATAAGGCGCTCATTGCTGCAACGTAGGCTGATTGTGATACCCAGGAGGAAGAGATCCACAAGAGTCGTGCTTTGAGGTGTTATTTTCTATTTTTAGTTGGCACTGTGCTTTTTGTGGACGCGAGTGCCACCTACACTGACGTTTCATACCTTCAATACTTCTTGGATCTTACACAGATCCATGAGTACAACTGGGGGGTGGTTTGCCTTGCATATCTATATTCAAAGCTGAGAGATGGATGTCGGTGGACAACAAGGCAAACCACAGGCAACACGACCCTACTAGTGGTAATATTTTTTTATCCTTGATTATTTTTTATCTTTATCATTTCATATTTGTAATAATTTTGATCCATGAATGATTTTTTATTTTCTTTTCAGGCTTGGATCCTCCAGCACTTCCCGCGCATCGCTGGTTGGTCGTGTTGGGATGAGTACACTAAGGAGATGCCATGTGCCTGTGCTTTTATCCCGCTGAGAGGGAATTAAGCGATCGAGCCTTTCAGAGTCTATCTTGACCGCTTGGTTGCTGAGGACATCCACTTCAATTATTACGTGTATCACTGTTATACGCGGCCATTTGACAATATATCTCTATACTCTGGATGGTTGGCCTGCTCTTCGACGGTCACTGCTCATCATCTGCCCGAGCGCGTCATGCGGTAGTTCGGGTACACCCAGACCATCCCCAGACACCCTGTTGTCTCTGCACCTCCAGCCTTGACTCATATACAGATAGAGGAGATGTTTGCTTATTATCAGAATCATTTGGTACCGGATGAGGCTCGGGCTACCATAGCATCGAATGATTGGAGTTACGTCTGGTTCTTCACTGTCTCACATTTGTATATGGTGTCGACTACTCTAGGAGATCCGTCGAGACTAGCTCATCAGGAGATTCTTGAGGAATAATAGGCTTAGATGGATCATATTGAGGATGTCTTACCTCGTTGTTGTCTCATAGTGGAGATGGTGCGGGCAGGCATTGACGATGGTATCTTCCCTGAGGGGTCTGTTGTTAGGTGAGTACTAGATGGAATTATTGCGGAGGCACAAGGGGCACTTTTGTACCGCTGACATCGCGTGAGGGTAGGGGGATTAATGGCCGAGGAGGCACACTAAGCAGAGGAGGCACAGGTGGCAGAGGATAGTTTGTCAGGCACACCCAGTGTTGTCTGTATTTATTTTGTTTCAATTCTATACTTTGTACGTTTTTCCTGACGTTGTTATTACATTTTAGATTTACATGTCGAATGACATCCTATTACTATGTTGTTATGTTATTTTGGTGTGTTTGTTATTTTATAATTCATCTGCGAAAATACGCAATGCGTTTTAAAAAAATAAACTTGTTCGGAAATACTTCAGAGATGTATCTCCGGTAAATTTCCGTAAATGCATCTCTGAAAAAATTCAAATGGAAATAGGCTATGGGAGATATTCTGTGATTGTTTGAGGTTTAAATAACTCCAGAGATATATCTTTGAAATATTATTAAGTCATGGGGCGCGTCCGGAGATATATCTCCAGAATCTAGGGGCATTTGTGGAAAACCACATGGTGTGAAAGAAACCCATGGGGTGGGATAAGAAATTTTCAATTTGTATAATGGTAAGCAAAGTCGGGTACAATAATTATCAAGAATTTTGTCCATCAATAATGGCTTCCAACTAACCAGAATCAGATATATGAACTCCTATTAAGGAAAGAACATCGTCGATGACTTAAATTCTTACAATAATATTTAGAAATGGATCAATCACCTTTTGTAATCAATTTTAACTTAACTCAGTTAACACAACTTAGTTTAACACGACTTACATTGATTTGCGCACAAAAGAGATTGTGAGTCTCATTCTAAACCTCGTGCAATTGACCACGACATACATGTTATTAGGAAGAACACAACTAACTAAATAAAATAGTAAGTGACCACTTAAAAAGAATGAATTTTTTTAATCAATAAAATAAACATATTGATAAGCTAATATTCGAACACAAATCACATTGCACATTGGATGAGATAATTTTATTGGGCATAGAAAGGACGGTTCATGATAAAGCACCTTAAACTAAGTAGAGTAATGTTGCGAGAGCTTGAAGTAGGATTAGTCGCTTGAGTTTGGGTTACTACACCCGAATTGAATTCCATGATCTGTCTCATTCAACACATGTGACATGTGAGATGTCCAATGAATAATAATATGAAAATATCAACCAAAGGGAAACTTTTCTCCTCCACGCTTTGAGGAAGAATCTATCTTTCTCTACTCCCAAGTTTTTTATTAGAAAACTAGAAATTTGTTTTTCTTGAGATTCAACCTAGGGATCTTCTATAAGTATTCTAACCTTAGAATTGGGAAGGTATAATTCTTTAGTTCAACAAAAACGGACAATCTTTCGCAATCCTTACATGAGTAGGCTCTCTTGCAACTATTGTACTTTCAAAAAGTACAATTGACGCTACCGTAGAACCCTGGTAAAATTAACTTATACCACACCTATATTTGTATTACATACCACCTCAGTCATTGCATTCAAGATGATGGCAACATGATTTGTCACGTCAACCGGTATCAGTTTTAGCAACGATCATCAAACCATAGTTGA